ATGGAAAACAGTTTAGTGAGCGGGTGGGGTTGGTGAGGGGCCACACCCCTTTTCCGGGTGGTTCAAGTTGAGTTCTTCAATTACTTTTTGCACGATTTGATTTTACATTTAACGATTTTTCGCACTTAATTAGAAACGAGTGTCGATGTCAGTGGCAGGTCCCACTCTCGCTCTCTCCCTCTCTCTCTCTCACTCTCTCGCTCTCGCTCTGTCTTGGCACTGCCATGATTTGATTAAATGTGAAGATGAATTTTAATTAAAATCTTTGCGCAACACCAACTTCCAAGTCAAACTCAACCCCTTTCAGCTCTCTCTCTCTGTCTCTCCCCCTTTCTTAACCGCTGTTATGTGGCAGAATTTTTGACACTCTGAACGGCTACGCTGGCCAGAGAAAAGGGGTTTTGGGGGCCCTTAATAGAGCAATAAAGCCGCAAGTTCATGGCGAACGATAGCTGGTCCACTGTGGGCTTAGTCATTGCCATGACATTCGGCTTTTAATTTATGCAAAATGAAAATTAAAGAGCGCCGCCGCCGCACAACTTTTCGTATCGTTTCTGCCCGAATATTTATGCAAATGACTCTCTAAATGAATTTTCAAAACTACTTACGAGTGATTTGGCTCAGTCACAGCCTCTCTGAGTCGGCGATCCATTTCAATTAAAGTCGTGCAGAGCACATTAAAGGCAGCTTAGCAAATAATTTGTGCATTGTCTGAGAGCAAATGAATCGCAAAACAAATCGCACAACGAATCGCAAACAATGCCGCATTTTCTTTTGTCAATGCAAATACACAGAACAGGCACAACTTTTCCCGAAAGTTTGTGGGAAAAACAAAAAAGAAAATATGAATATAAAAACACGACCAAAAACTCTACACACACTCGCTGGCAGTCACGTGCAGTAGGCGATGCTCGTAAACTGAAGGCATGATTGACTAATTGATATCCTATCAGTTCATTTTAATGGTACTAAGTACTCGAAGGAGCTCTGCCTAAGCTAAGGTCTATCGGTACATTGATTTATCAATATATCGCTTGATATATCTACCCTTCGATTTCTCCACTCTCCTTTTCTTTCCCTTTCATCTATCACACCCCTCGGCTCTTTTTCCCTGCAGGATATCAAAACTTTTCCGCACTCTGGCTTAGTTTCGGCGCGCCGGGAAAGTGGAGGGAAACTGACTGTCGCGTCCAATGGGCCATTCAAAAATTACGAGCCAACAGTTTCCGCAGTGTTTTTTGTCATTTCCATGCGCTCATTGTCAGTTTTAAGTAAGCAACTTTTACCCTTTTGTTGCTGTTGTTGTTGTTGTTGTTGTTGTTATTTTGACTGCATGTCCTATTTTGTTGGTGTTGCAGCAGCCGGCAAAAGTTGTTGACCAAAACTGCCTACAAATGCAGACAAATATGGAAAAGCGCATGAAATGCAATAAATTTTCAAATATATTTTGTGTGCGCGACAGAAAAAGTAGACAGCAGTTATTTTTTTATGAACTCAGCTATCCTGTGAATAACTAATACGAGGGGTATATAAATCTATTAAAAAACAGAAATTTATAGGGGAAGAAGATCTAAAACTATATTTCTCTTTACCAAGGCCTAATTAGAGTCTAATTCATACATAGTTTTACAGGGTATTCGTATGCATTAGTTCTCTAGAATAGTTGATCTATTATTTTAACTCCAATTTTATCTCGTGACACATTTTATAGGGTATTAAATATGCAGCACTTCTTTAGAACAATGTTAAGAATCTCCAAGTCTACTAAATTTGTGGGCTGATCTTAAGAGATTTCTATATCCAATTCTATGACACATTCTACAGGGTATTTTGTGCACTCAACTTCTTACTGTTTCACGATGTTATTTTCAACATTTATTATTTTTTTGTTGCACAGTGCACCACAAGTCAGTTCGACAAAACTGATAGAGCTTCACTCTGCAAATGATTAAAACTTGCAGAAGTCGCAAACAACTAAACAAAGTCAGAGGCAATATATAAATCAATGTTTGGTGCCTTGCGCAAGTCTCGAGCGACATATTTACGAGCGACTTAAATTGGCGATAGACAACAGAAGACGCGTGACATTCAGATTTTTAACGATTTTACCAATCAGAAATGCAGTCAATAAATTGCCAAAGGCTTACTTCAAATATTTCAGCGATGAGTGTGAAAACTTGAGAAAGATCGAAGGCAAGAGCAAAGCAAGTGAATGAAAGTACGAATAGCTCAAATCAAGGCAAATTTTAAGGGTTATCTATTGCAAAATCAAGTGAAGAGTTGTATTGCGGCTATATGAGACTTGCATAGAGATGTCTGGCAGAGAATAACTTGAAATCAATGAACATAACTCTAGCCATTTATATAAGGAGCGAACAGGTATAAAAATAACCATAACACACTACTGAAGCCAAGTACAGCAGATTCTTCTGGTTTGTTGCTTATTGACAATTCAAGTTTTATATAGTCCATAAAGCCAACGTAAAAATAGTAATACAACTAAAATGTGTTATAGAAAAAATTTCTGATATATTCTATGACTAAAAATATTCTATATATATTCCATCAACCCATAAAATAAATATTCTATAAATAAAATAAATTAATTAAATTTTAATACTAGCTTTAAATTATTTTAAAAATATTATATTTATCACAAAATGTTGCTATGACCACTGCTAGAACACAACTAGAAAATCTTTTACTTGGTAAATTAAAAATATATATAAGCAGAGGACTAGTCAGGCATTAAACCACCTTTTACCCCGGTAAGGCTCCCATCCAAAAGCAAAATCTAAGATCAGTCATATACTTCTCTATGACTCCACATTCCCTCTCTCTCATTCTCAGTCCAACAAATTGCATCACTTTGCTTGGTTGGCCAATGCTATTGGCTGTTATCAATGAACTTAGAGTGATTATCGAATGTCATCTAGCGTCTGTGTACTATAAATTATGAGAGATTTTCAAATGGCAGTCAGTCGAGCATTTGACACAATACACAAACAGAGCATTCGATAAGACTGATAAGATTTTCATTCTGATCGTGCTTTGGCTACTATTTTCTGTCAATCGCGAGCGTTGTGCATACGTCAAGTGGTCCGCACATCGGCTGCCAGTATATAAAGAGAACAGCTGAGGCATTACACTTTAATAGACGCTTTGGGCCGGAACGGAACGGAGCACAAAAAAAAAAAAATCAGAAAGAATGTTTCTTAAAACTTGCCTGCTGCTGTTGGTGTGCAGCGTCGCTGCGCTGTCTGCGCAAAGCTACGATGGGTGAGTGCTGGGGGGCGTGGCTGCATCAGCACAATGCACAATTAACTTGGCAACTCTCAACAGCTACAAGATCTATGACATCTATGCACGCAACAACTTCGAGAAGCAGCTGCTGCTGCGTCTGGCCAACAATGCGGACTACGACTTCTTCGATATGCCGCGTGCCCTGGATGTGGCTACGCGTGTGATGGTGCAGCCCAAGGATCAGGAATCGTTTGAGGAGCTGCTGCGACGCTTCGCTGTCAACTTCATGGTGGTTGACAACAACGTGGGCAGCACGCTGCAGGAGGAGCAGCTGGAGAACCAGACCCAGCGTCTGATGTCCCAGCGTGCCACGAAGCGCAGCATCAGTTTCACTGCCTTCCATCGTCATGCCGAGATCAATGCATATCTGGACGAGCTGGCCAAGGCCTATCCCAGCCGCGTCACTGTCAAAACGGCTGGAAAATCCTACGAGAATCGCGACCTGAAGACCATTACCATCAGCAATGGCGATGGCAAGACCGGCAAGAATGTGATCTTCCTGGATGCTGGCATACATGCACGCGAATGGATTGCCCCGGCCGGCGCGCTCTACGTCATCTATCAGCTGGTGGAGAACTTTGTGGCCAATGCTGATCTGCTGAAGAACTACGATTGGGTCATTCTGCCCGTGGTCAATCCCGATGGCTACGAATACACCCACACCAACTCACGCATGTGGCGCAAGACCCGCAAGCCAGTCAGCTCCGCTTGCTATGGCACCGACGGCAATCGCAACTTTGACTTCCATTGGGGCGAGGTGGGCGCCTCCAGCTACTCGTGCGCCGACACATACAAGGGCACAACGGCCTTCTCCGAGCCGGAGACGCAGCTAGTGCGCGACCTGCTGCTCAGCCTGAAGGGCCGTGGCAAGTTCTACCTGACGCTGCACTCGTATGGCAACTACTTGCTCTATCCATGGGGCTGGACATCGTGAGTGCATTAAGTGCAACGCGTAGCTCCGACTCTTAGTTGACTTTCTCTGTTTCTCTATTTTGTGTTCTGTTCAGTGACCTGCCCGCCGACTGGCGCGCCCATGATGAGGTGGCACAAGCTGGCGCCGCGGCTATCAAGGCCTCCACGGGCACCAAATACACTGTGGGCAGCTCGACGAATGTGCTCTATGCCGCTGCCGGTGGCAGCGATGATTATGCCTTCGGCGTTGCCAAGTTCCCCGTTTCCATCACCATGGAATTGCCCGCCGGCGGCACTGGCTTTAATCCATCCACCGCACAGATACTGCCCTTCGTCACCGAGACCTGGACGGGCATTCGTGCCATGGCCGAGAAGGTCATTCAGAAGTATTAAGGCCTAAATACAGCAAATAAAGCCAATGATATTTTATATACGTGTATGTGTGTGTGTGAAGTTCCATTTCAATTGCTGATAGGTGCCACCCATGGAGCATGGCATCATTGAAACTGCGACTGCTCCAGCAGTGACATACTTGCCTCATTGGCCCGAGCGCCTGCTGTGCGTTGCGTGCTTACATTTTCAGTTATCGCCACGCCAATTAACTGGGCTTATTCAAGTGTTGCTTTAAGCACCGTGCACAATTAACTGGAGAAGCAATATATACATATATACTATATAGATAAGTGCATTCATTCGGCTTCTATTATCGCTAAGCTTTCCGTCGGTCTTAAAGCCATATGCAAACGCAACCATTAACATATCTCCCTGTTACACTCTTGGTACACTTAAAAAACTGATTGATCTCATCATGCTAGTAATACCGCTTAGTGCCCAACCTGCCTTGGTAGGGGTACATACGGCGTAGCAGACTATTAGTAATGAATTCTGTGAGCAACTTTAGGCCCACATTATGGTTAACAATCGTATAGCTCATGTTGTGTATTTGAAGCAACTGTAGAAAGTCCGCCTGCGCTTTGGGATGTACCATCATGCGGTCAGGTGAACCACTAATGGAATACTGCTCAAAGAACGACTCATTTCTGCTCAGCTCTGACAAGTCCAAGCCATCGCCAATCGTTTGATTTGTTGTCGCCAGCTCATAGATCTTAAAGCTGAAAATAAAAGCATTGCTTTGTTAAGTATACCAAAGCGTTAATAGCCAAGCGCTTACCCATCGTATAAGCCACAGTCGACGTAGTTTAGCGCTATGCAAAGACAGCAAACAAAGAACCACAAAATTTTCATCTAAACACAGTGCCTACTTAGTGAAAACTAAAAAATTCGTAAAAGTAATCAACTCAAACTGAGAGGTTATCAGTAGAATGAAGCATAGAGCAAGAGAACGAGGCGAAGTCTGATTGGAATCTATTATATTGAGCAGATGGAAGAGATTGCTCTCATTTTGCTTTCATGATACTCGTGCAATGAAATTGGTTCAGAGCAAAAAACTTAAAGAATCAACACATATACTATTTACTTGAATAATAATTGAATTCATATTTCAATCATTCTCGGCTTCTTTTATACGATTTTATATACAACCTGATGGAGATTATATATACTTCATAAAATCTGTCGCACCTTACATTCTCACCGAATCGTTCCACCTGAAATCCCAATTTTGAAAATATCAAATACTTTTATTTATTTTGCTCTTTCTTACATTTTATTACTCAAATGTTCTAATTAAGTGGATACTTTTTAACCACCTTCTGAGCCATTGCCACAATACCCACCCAGGTCTCTTTAACTAGCCTATCTATATCCGTAGGTGGAGGATGGAAAGGATTTTTGCGTCCGGAGGGCAGTTCCATAGTAAATGATATGGGAAAACCAGCATTGAAAGCATAGTCATCACTAGCACCGGCAGCTGGATACATTAGTATTGCAGAGCCACCCACCTTGTAAACGTTACCGGTAGCTGCTTTAATAGCATCCCTACCTGCTCGCGCAACCTCATCCAAGTCCTGCCAAGTGTCTGGTAGAGATCTGGAAAATCAAAACTCCAAATAATAACTCCGAATTATTTTTAGCTACTCACTCAATATAACCCCAGGGGTAGAGTAAATAACTTCCTTCGGAATGTACTGTCAAGTACATTTTGCCACGATCCGCCAGACTGTGTATCAGATCACGCACCACAATTGTCTCAGGCTCAGAGAAAGCCTTTGGTCCCGCATACCCATCATCACACGGATCCGAGGAGGCACCAGCTTCATTCCAGTGAAAATCAAAATTACGATTGGGATCGATGCCAATGCAGTGCCTGCTGCTTGGTTGCCGAGTCTTACGCCACATACGCGTATTCGGAGATATTTGTGAATACTCATAGCCATCCGGATTTACTACGGGTAGAATGACCCAATCGTAGTCTTGCAATAGCTGAGCATGCGCCTCGTAGTTGTTGACCAATTCGTTAATGCCATAAACCACGGCAGCCGGTGAGATCCATTCACGTGCATGGAAGCCACCATCCACGAGTATGACATTCTTGTTAGCCCGTCCGTCTCCATTGGTGATCCGAATCGTCTTTAACCAACGACCCTCAAAGGACTTGCCCACCGTCTTGACCTCAACTCGCGTGGGATTCTGCTTGGCCAAGTCCTCAATAAACTGATTGATCTCATCATGCGAGTAATACCGCTCTGTGCCCAGCTTTCCTTGGTAAGGGTACAAATTGCGTAACTTTTGATTCATTTCAAAATCACGTTGGAGCCATAAGCCGACATCGTTATGAACAATTTTATAGTTCATCATATTGGCATTGAGCAGCTTTAAGATATCTGCTTGCGCATCGGGATGCACCAGAATATGAGCAGATGCTCCATTTCTGGAGTAGACTTCGTAGTACGAATTATTATTTTCCAGCATCGAATAGTCCAAGCGCCGTCCAGCTTGCCGATCCATCATGGAGACCTCATACATCTTAAAGCTGATCTATGATTAATTAGGTATTCACTTTACAGGCAAACACTCACCCATTATAGAAAGTATCCTTGGCATAGCTTAGCGCTATAGCATAAGAACACACAGCTACCCATAAAATCAACTTCATGTTTACAGCTTGTACAATTTGTAAGAACTGAACCACCTTATAAATACCCAACACCCCAGTTGGATTTCCAATTACGTTTAGAAACACATTTAAAATTATCCACAAATTGGTTGTCAAAATAATGAACTATTGGCATAAAGAAAAGAACATAAATAACACTAACGTAATTATTGGACTGATTAGACAGAGTCGTAATGAGCTGCAAGCTAAGCTAGAATCGCATAGTAGGACGCTATATAAAACCTATTTTAAACCCTAAACTGAAAATGGAAAATCATGTTTATATTTCGTAAGTCTTTGAAGCTGGAGTCTCTATGGAGTATAAGCGCAGATCGACAAAGATCTTCTTGTCGGCTACCCCGATCTTGGGCGTTTTAACTTGTATGAAAGAGTACTCCAATCTAATCTTATCTCGACCGTCGATTTATTCAAACATTTTTGACTAGAGCTAACGGATTATATTTAGTATTTTTCTATAAGCTTTTCGGCCATGGCACGAATGCCAATCCATGTCTCCGTTACGAACTCGTCAATTTTGCTGGCAGGAGGATCAAATCCTGTTATGCCACCTCCAGACAACTCCATGGTAATGGAAACATTGAAGCCAGCATAGAAGGCATAATCATCGCTAGCACCAGCAGCTATATAGAGCACATTGGTAGAGCTGCCCACCGCGTAAACAGTTCCAGTCGCTTCCTTTATGGCATCACCGCCAGCACGAGCCACATCGTCAAGATCCTGCCAAGTTTCTGGCAATTCTCTGCGAAATATAAATTTCATTAGTCAAGCAATAGAAATAAATGTTAGCCAATGACGTACGAGGTCCATCCCCAAGGATAGAGTAAGTAGTTGCCAAAGGAGTGAATTGTCAAATACATAATGCCACGATTCGCATACGTGTGCAATAGGTCACGCACCACCTGCGTCTCTGGCTCCGAGAAAGGCGCCGGCCCAGCAAAGGTATCAGAGCAGGGATTCGATGAGGCGCCCTCCTCATTCCAGTGAAAGTCAAAGTTACGATTGGGATCAGCACCATAGCAGGTCTGGCCCAGAAGCTTATACGGCTGCCGAGTTTTGCGGAATAAACGAGCTAGGGTTCCTGTCTGCGTGTACTCATAGCCATCTGGATTGGCCACCGGCAGAACGATCCAGTCATAGTCCTTGAGCAGTTCGGCATTCTCATCGAACTTCTCTACCAACTGTTCAATGACATACAGCACAGCTGCCGGAGATATCCATTCACGTGCATGGAAGCCACCATCCATGAAAATGACCTTCTTGTTGGCCCGACGATCGCCATTAGTTATCGTAATAGTTTTCAGCTCACGCTTCTCATATGACCATCCAACAGTCTTGAGGAGCACACGGCTTGGATAACGAGCTGCCAAGTCATTGATATAGTTGGTGATCTCCTCGTGTGTGTAATAGCGGTCCGTGCTGAGGCGGCCCTTGCCCGAGATGGGCGACAGACGCCGTTGCACTTGTCGCTGGGCAAACTCCTCGGCAATGGTGGCACCCAGATTTTCATTAATTACACTGTGGCTCAACTGCTGTTCCGAGAGCAGTTTCTCGAAGTTTTCCAACTGGTCGGGACTCACAATAACCCGTGATGGCTGTCCCAGCAAACGACGTAGATTAAGGAAGTCGTAGCCCTGTTGGCTCAGCTTGTACAGCAGCTCCCCCTGCTCAGCACTGGCCGGCCTCAGCTCATAGATGCGATAGCTGCAGGCAATCGGATGTAAGTCAAGACTGTTCCACACTATATCACTATATCCTTCATGGACTCACCCATCGTAGTCATGTTCGGCAGCAACCAGTGCCAAGCCAAGCAGCAGCGACAAAACACCCAAACGCGACATGACTCTACTCAGTAATGGACACACGTGTCGCAAGCATTTCACTTAAATAGCCAAGTCAAATCTTATCTAATTCCAAGCTATAGATAATTGTTATTAGAGTATTTCGTGTAAAACCCATACTATTAAGCACTCTAGTTTTTGGTGATTAGATTTCGATTAGATTTGGATTAGATTCCCATTATATTTCTTTCTTATCATCTGCAAAGCAGGGAAAATCTTCTATTTTTTTTTTAACTATTCGGATTTATAGACTACTCAAAATCTTATCTAATCTAATTCTGACTGTTTAAAGAATTTAAAATCATTCCCTAGAGAAATCAAGCTTAAAATTTTACCAACCAATATGTGATATTAGTACATGTAGATCAAAAATCAATTAATTGTAATAATTTTGCTTTTTATTGCTCAAAAGCTTTAATTAAGTGGATACTTTTCAACCACCTTCTGAGCCATTGCCACAATACCCACCCAGGTCTCTTTGACTAGCCTATCGATATCCGCAGGTGGAGGATCGAAATAATTAGCGCCACCAGCGGGCAGTTCCATGGTGAATGATATTGGGAACCCAGCATTGAAGGCATAATCATCGCTAGCACCGGCAGCTGGATACATCAATTGGGTAGAACAGCCCACCTTGTAAACGGTGCCGGTAGCTGCTTTAATGGCATCTCCACCGGCACGTCCAACCTCATCCAGATCCTCCCAGGTGTCTGGGAGTAAGCTGTGAAGTCCGAATTCTAAGTAAATAACTCTTAATTCTTTTTAGCTACTCACTCAATGTAGCCCCAGGGGTAGAGTATATAATTTCCATAGGAATGCACTGTTAAATACATTTTGCCACGATCCGCCAGACTGTGTATCAGATCACGCACAACAATTGCTTCAGGTTCAGAGAAAGCCTTTGGTCCCGCATAAGTTTGGGAGCACGGATCCGAGGAGGCACCAGTTTCATTCCAGTGAAAATCAAAATTACGATTGGGATCGATGCCAATGCAATCTGCACTGCTTGGCTGACGAGTCTTACGCCACATGCGCGTATCCGGAGAGATTTGTGTATACTCATAGCCATCCGCATTGACTACGGGTAGAATAACCCAGTCGTAGTCCTGCAATAGCTGAGCATGCGCCTCGTAGTTGTTGACCAATTCGTTAATGCCATAAACCACGGCAGCCGGTGAGATCCATTCACGTGCATGGAAGCCACCATCCACGAGTATGACATTCTTGTTAGCCCGTCCGTCTCCATTGGTGATCCGAATCGTCTTTAACCAACGACCCTCAAAGGACTTGCCCACCGTCTTGACCTCAACTCGCGTGGGATTCTGCTTGGCCAAGTCCTCAATAAACTGATTGATCTCATCATGCGAGTAATACCGCTCTGTGCCCAGCTTTCCTTGGTAAGGGTACAAATTGCGTAACTTTTGATTCATTTCAAAATCACGTTGGAGCCATAAGCCGACATCGTTATGAACAATTTTATAGTTCATCATATTGGCATTGAGCAGCTTTAAGATATCTGCTTGCGCATCGGGATGCACCAGAATATGAGCAGATGCTCCATTTCTGGAGTAGACTTCGTAGTACGAATTATTATTTTCCAGCATCGAATAGTCCAAGCGCCGTCCAGCTTGCCGATCCATCATGGAGACCTCATACATCTTAAAGCTGATCTATGATTAATTAGGTATTCACTTTACAGGCAAACACTCACCCATTATAGAAAGTATCCTTGGCATAGCTTAGCGCTATAGCATAAGAGCTCACAGCGAACAATAAAATCAACTTCATGTTTACACCTTGTCGACTTATGAACAACTGAACAGCCTTATACAATAGCCAAGCTTGATTTCCAATCAGAAACGGTATTAATAGTGTGCAACCTAAAAGTTAAGAGACACACTAAAAATTATCAACAAATTGGTTGTAAAATCAATGAAAACATCGATAGCCATTTATTGGTCACTCTGATATGTGTTAAAAACTTAAGGAATAAAACGTGAGATAGTGAAATTGAGACTGCTATATGCACATACCAAGCTGATAGTATATCTAACTAAAGAACGTTTATAATTTTAATAGTGTCGTAGTAGATACTATGCTTGTGTGTTTCTAATAATAATGCAATTATAATGATTATTGCTGGACATGATGATGTAGCCACTCTACTGATTCTAATTTATTTATCAATGTTTTCTCAACACATCTTTAAGAGGAACTTTGTCTTACTGAAACATGTTTGAGAATGTGGAGAATAGTTGGAAGACCTATAAATCAGGATATGGCTATATAACGCCTTTTATCAATGAGGAAGTACAAAATGTCTATAAAGGGTGCATGACAACAATATTAACAGCCGATTGCATCCAAGTAGTGATTGAGCTCCTTGGAACTTCAAACATATATCCAACTCCATTCAAATAATAAACAAGTTAACAATTTTAAATTCTCTAGAAAAATAATGTTTATTAATGAACATTTGTTTGCGCTTCGTTTTGGTAGAGTTTGATCACCTCCAGGGCCATGGCACGCACACCCACCCAACTTTCGGTCACAATGCCCTCGATGTGCGATACCCAGGGATCGAAGCCCAGAAATCCGCCAGCGGGCAATTCCATGGTGATGGCAACACTTGCATTGGCCACGCCCACAGCATAGTCTGTGGAATCTCCAGAGGTCGCGTACATCAAATGGTAGCCGCTGCCATAACTGTAAATGCCATTCGTAGCATAAAGGATTGCCATGGCACCCGCATCAGCTACCTGCATCATTTCATCATAATTTGGTGGCAAAGAGCTGAAAAGGGTCAACTTATTAGGGAAGTTTTGTTATCTATAGATCGATGATATAAGTGAATGATAAGAGTATGTAGCCCAATTAGTTTCCTTATCTACATAATTTTTCAGTAACCTTTCATGGACTCTCTGCTCACCTTGTGTGGCCCCAGGGCAGCAGGAGGTAGTTGCCATACGAGTGCAGCGAAAGGTAAAATGTCAAACGGTCGCTATAGTGCAGCAGTATATCGCGTACCACCTGCGACTCGGGCTGATCGAAGGCGTGCTCGCCCTGGTAGGTCTCGTTCGAAGGATCCGGCGAAGCGCCATCCTCGAGGCCCCACATATAGCCGAAATTGCGATTCAGATCGGTGCCAATGTTCTCGGGATCCCAGGTGGGTTTGCGAGTCTTGCGCCAATAGCGCGAGTCCGTGTGACTGAACTCATAGCCATCCGCATTGACCACCGGCATAATCACCCAGTCGTAGTCCTTGAGCAGATCCGCATTCTCTGCATAGTTGTCCAAGAGCTGTTGAATGATGTACAGAGCAAGGGAGGGTGCAATCCATTCGCGTGCGTGCATCGCAGCATCGATGAAGATCACCGGCTTGTTCGCCCGTCCATCGCCATTCGTGATGGTCAACAGCTTCAGTGGGCGACGCTCGTAGCTCCAGCCGAAGTGCTTGACCAGCGCACGTTGCGGATAACGTTGGGGTAGACTATCGAGATACTCATTGATTTCGGCATGGGTATAAAATGCGCCCAGGACATCGATCAGAGGCAGCGTGAAGCGCGCCTTGTTGCGTTGATTGTCCTCACGCTGTGCCTTCACCAGCGGGGACAAGTCATCTGAGAGCAATTGATGCTCTATCCGATGTGCCTGCAAATGCTTGAGCAAACTTTCCGCTTGGTTCGGCGCCACCAACACTCGCAATCCTTTCTCATTGTGGCTGCGCCGTGATCCCAGCAAATCCCAGTCGGGCTGCTCCTGCGCCCACTTGCGAATCAGCTGCAGCTGGCCCTCATCCTCAGGCAGCAGTTCGTATACCTTATAATCCTTGTAATCCTGCCAGGCCAATATACAGTTGAACTGCAGCAGCAGCCCCAGCAGGACCCAACCCAAGAGAGCGTACGATGTCATTTGTGCAAAGTGCCAGCAAGACTATGCCCCAAAAATTTCAGATACCCATGGAATAGCCCAGCGTAACTTATCAGCTAATTGGAGCTAATGCCGATGATTAGACTTGGATTACGATACCAATAATTTAATTTTATCATTTTGGCTGCAGACGCTTCCGTTTATGGCTGGCGATAAAACAAATATTATAAACCCGAATCGTTCAGGGCTTCAAGTCTTTGTGAACTGGTTCATGAAGTGAACAAAATATTGTTTTTTTTTTTTTTTCATTTTCTGTTTGTTTTTCTTTAATGCCTAATAACGACGACAATAATTAGTTTAATTAACAATTATAAATTCAATTGGCTAAATGCTAAGGATGTTCAGCGGGTACCGCACAACTTAATACAGGCTAACGTGCCGAATGAACTCGATAAAGCCGGCAAATGTCTCCTTGCAGACGTGGATGATGTCAAAGGGGGACACATGGAACTCCTCACCGGGTAGCTCAAGCGTGTAGGACAAGGGTATGCCCAGGCTGCCATAGGCAAAGTCATCCAGACTGCCAGACGCCTCATAGAGTATGGAGGCTGAGGTGCCGACGGTATAGCGGGTGCCGCGATATCTGCCGATTTGGTTGGCGGCTCTCAGCGCCACCGAGCGCAATGTGGCCACAGTGGGTGGCACAGTGTTTCTGTAAGAGAGAGAGAGAGAGAGAGAGAGAGTGATATATATATAGAGGCTACAAATTGTTGGTGTGAAACTGTTTACAATTGGACACAGATAGAGTGCGGCAGGCAGGGGAAATATTTGGTTTTTAATTGCTTTTGGCAATTAATTGAAAAAGCAAATTGAATTTCTTACACACCTCGCATAGCCGTAGGGATAAAAAATGAATTTGCCGAATGAGTGAACATCCAGGCTGAGCTTCACACGATGACGATTGAATTCCAAATAGCGCACCACAGCCGCTGTTTCCGGCTCCGAGTTGGGCGAGGTGCCCGAATAGACCTCCGAGCAGTGCTATATTTAAAGTGGAAATTGTGCTATGAATGAAGGTCAAAGTCAAGTGCAGAATGGAAGGTCGCTTACATTCTGGCTGGCGCCCTGATAGTTCCAGTGGTTGCCAAAGTTGCGATTAATATCGACGCCGGTGCACGGGAGGCCAGCATAACGATGACGATTCTTGCGCCAGAAGCGATCCTATAGATCAAAGAAGATCAGATAAGTCAGATGAGTCAGGCAAACATCTAGGATTCTCTGAGCTAGCTACTTACCGTAGTATGTGTATATTCATAGCCATCGGGATTCACGAGCGGCACTAGGAACAGCTCCACGTCGTTTAGCACACGCTGGAAGGCACGCAGGTTGGTCAGCAGCTCATAGGCCAAATACAGAACCGTCTGGGTGGTAATCCACTCCCGGCCATGTGTAGCTGCCTGTATGTAGGCGACGCGACGCGGACGCACACGCTGGTTGAGAGAAATCGATAGGGCCGCGATATGACGACCCTCGCTGGAGCGACCCAGCGACTCGTAGCGACAGTATAGGGGATAGCGTGCGGCCAGGTTGCTCATGAAGTTGAGGATCTCGTGATAGCGCGGAAATCTCGAGAAGAAGCTGCGCGCCTGACGACGCTTGCGACTGTGCGGCCTATCGGACTCACAATCTCCGGGCTGGCATTCCTCGTACTCATCCCCTTCAGCATAGGTGCTGTTGCCCTCCAGCGATGCCATCAGGTCCATCAGTGGCTGGGTCTGGTACTGCACGTCCAGCTGCAGCAGGCGCGACTCGAGCTGCGGCTTGTGGCTGGGACCCACCGTCAGGACGGACATGTTCCGTGTCAACAGCCAGAAGTCGACTTCCGTATCGTTTGTCTGCAGCTCGACCATATACTGAAAGGCGCTCTCATCGCCATGCAGCACCGTATACTTGGTATAGCTAATGGAAGTTATGAATGGAAACAAAAAATTATTATTTGTAGAGAATAATTATGATGATAATAATAGTGCATTAATTATAAATAATTGTGACTAGACTGAAGAATGCTCGGTATTCTGCTCTCTGCATTTGATGGCTCATTCATCATCTTCATATTCAGCTATTACTTCTTATAAACATATTAAACAAGTTGAATATATTCAACTAGTTGATACCCGGTCTATAAATAAAAAACACATTATGAATTCTTCATGTCTTCAGCTTAGAAGAACGCAACGAAAAACATAGAATGAGCAATACGAATACGGAATAGACTCATCATAACCATTTGAAGATACTGTGGCTATGTTAATATCATATAACAAAATTTGTTGTAAAAGCTCTATAAATAAATTTCAATCAAATATTTAACAGAATTTGAAATATTAATACAATAATAATCATTTCCTGTTGGGTAATTCCAATTACCTGCAATTATATCTCACGTATGGCTGACTAGAAAATCCAATTAAAATTTCAGAAAAAACCTTAAATATGACTGCTTAGCACACCTACACACACACACATGCGTATGTCTTGATCTAATTGGACAACAAAATTAATTTGTGGCGCCCAGAAATGAGTTGTTGATTCACAAATTTATGCAGAATGAGCTCGTTCTCGTTGTCGTCGCCTGGCCAATTGGCGTTTTGCCACCTCGCATGAATTTGTGGCCAATTTATCATTTCGAAAAATTCCACAACAAGATGAAGCAACAAGCTGACTGGCCCACAAAATATTGAACATCTATGCATATTCATCATATGCAGCCGCAGCTAAAGCAGAAGAAGCAGATAAAGACGAAGGCGGAGGTGGAGGTAGAGGTGGAGGCGGAGGTTGGGGCGCAGCAGGTAGCAAAACAGAAGACAAAGATGCGGCTAATCACGTGTGGCAGTCGACGGACGGCATACAATGAATGATATATAATTAAATTAAACGCCCGCCAACAATGTTATACGCCGGCTATACATATACGTATAGCTGAGCGAAAGCAAGGGCAACATGTGGTGGAGGGCAGAGAGTTGGCCAACGGGGTATACATGACTTGTACATAGCCTAGAGACAGTGTCATCAGAGTACGCGCTTTGTTCAATGTGAACTTAATCGATATTTATAGATATAGAGAACTATTCGTAGAGATGACCTTCGGGATATTATGTAATAGCAGGAAACTATGGATCATACCCTGTAACTAATACATTACACCTCTAAAATACATTCGACTTTCATTATTCCTATAAATAGATCACTGTATTTGTCGATTTTTTTAATTTTATAAATTGGCCTCTAAAACTACATATATCATATGATGTATGGCTATAAGGAATTTTAGTTCAATTAACTTCATTTCTAACTTGACATTAAGCGCTATAGCTGTAATTTATCCATATATTAAATACTAAAGCAATCCATATCAAGTTGTTAGTATAAATATATATATATGTAAGTAAGTCATAAGTCAACAACACCAACTAACACCTACAGCATCGTACAACTCAAGACCAATAGACTAATATACCCTCTGTTGCTCTTCAATGCATCTAAAGTGGATTATCAACACAGCGGGAGCTACCAACTAATTTTTCATTTTTACATAAAGAAACTGTTTGGGATTGAATGAAATATCGTTTATAGTTTTATTGTTGTAATTTTCCTTAAATTATAAGCAAATGATGCGCTATTGTTGACTGCAGATTGTGACCTCGTCAAAATCATATCGATGCATATATTAAGTATCTATTTCTAAAAATTTCAATTTCAAACGTTTCGCGCTGCTCCAGCAACAAACAAAAATAATAATAATAAATAAATAAAAGACAAAAGCAGCGGAAGGAAGCAAACGTTTTGCGTGCTAATTAAATATCAAGTTGAATGTTTTTGTTTTTTTTTTTTTTTTATTTTGTTCGTTTTTCCTTTGCTTTTGTTTGTTTTCATTTTAATTTTGATTTGCCGCACGAACAGCAGCAGCAGCAGCAGCAGCATCATCACAGCTTCAGCTGTTTGCATGCATCGCGTATACGCCCCGTGCGCCCCGCATCAACTCTGTGAAGCTGTGAAGTGTCTTAAAACATATTTTAGCAAACATTTGCACAGCGATCGCATTTGGCATTTGCATGACACATTTGCTCTTGCCATCGTCGAGTCGTCAATGGAACCGACTTTTTGTCATGGGCGTGGCCACTTTAGGGTTTGCTTTGTCAACTTGTCTGCTTCGAACTGGACAGCGTTTAGTCCAAGCTCTAATGTTAATGACTGCGTTTAATCGCTGGCATTGACACTCAATAGTGTTAACACTTACATTTAGCTATATTCACATGTATGCATATATACATTTTTTTTCTTTTTATAAATAAATATAAATATATATTTATTTTTTGTTATTTATGTATTTTCTATTGCCAAACAGTTGACATTTGAATAACTTTTCTGTTATCTAGGCTAATGTAAAAAACTTTAGTTACAAGCTTTGGTATGCCTTTTGACTTGGTTTTTCATTAACTTAACCATTATTTGCAGTTCTCTTTTTAGCCTATTGAGCTACTCTGTAACTTTAATTTAAATTTTAATATAAAAAAAAAAAAACGCTACCGATTTTTTTATTATATTTTGTTGCAGACTGACTTTTAATTTATTTAATATTTGTAGATTTTTTGTAAAACCAGCAGCATATTTTCTAAAGTTTTTTTATTTTTATATATAGTTTTGATTTTTAAAAGTATAGTTATACGAAGCCTAGATGTAATATTTTGGGAACCCAATGTAAGTGCTCATTCCAACAAAAACACGATCTAAGAAATCAAGCCTAAAGCATAAACAGAGAATGCTAAAATCTCAGAAACTATTCAACCTCTTGTAGCCCCGTTAAAAGAGCAGACCAAAAAAATGTCCACAGCTCGATTCAATATTTTGCATTTTATAACAAAAAAATATATCTCTTTTATGAAGTAAAAGTCTAAACCAGTTTAACAACTAGCCGGCACTCAAAATTAAAATTATTAAAATAAAAAAAGAGAATATATGAATTAAGCGAGCTGCTTGATTAATGAGCATGAGAAATTTGCGAAAGAAAAAATATATAAATATTATATAATATATGTATATATATGTATGATATATGTAGATATATGTATACTGTTTATTTGTAACTATTGTGTTAATTACCCTTCATAGCCGGCCAGATTATTGTAGCTGCTGCTACTGCTGCTGCTGCTGCTGTTGATGGAGCACGTCAAGACGGCGAGGCAGAGCCACAGGCTGCACACGATTTTGTAAAACATTGTGCACTTAAACAATTCGCCACAGCAGCTGCTCGTGTTTGTTATTAAAAAAAAGTATTTGTTTGTTTGCTTTTGTTTTATTGTAAATTTTCTTTCTATTTGTTTATGCGCAATTATGTATTAAAATATGCAGCTGTGCGCCGATTGAGGCATGAATGCTCTTGCCTATTTGCTTAGCCACTACACATATATATATATATGTAATAATTGAATAAATATTATATCTTCTTTAGCTAGTTGCACTTGAGAGACTTATGTAATAGTCGCACACTGAGAAACTAAACTGAACTCAAGTTGAATTTTAAATTGAAGCCGAACGCGATCCGTTTCGTATGCTTCATCTCCAAAGACTGTCGAGCGTTTAGCGGCGTGGCTCAGAAAGAAGACGTTGCTAAAGCCACACACAAAACCCGAAAAAAAATGTTTTCGTATCGTTTATATGTCTGATTTTTGTTGTTTTTTTTTTAGAAAAGTGAGTGTCAAGGTCAGTTGTCCAGTTCAGTTCACTTTGTTGGTCCAAACAGCAGCAGCAGCAGCAGCAGCAGCGGCGAAGACTCCAAAGATGTTTGTAAACGCGTCACGAGACGAAATACGGAAAGGGTTTAGTTTTTTTTGTATTTTTCTGATTATTTATTTATTACTTTTCCAATAGGTTGCGCGGCACGCGTCACCGTTTCTTATTGGCTGCCAATTAGAATCTGCTTGGTTCTTTGGCCAATTTGAATTGAGTTTTGCATAATTTATGCCACAGTTGCCAAGAAGCTCGAATTAATGTGATTTGGGTTTTGTTTCTCTTTTTTATTATATTTTTAAATGAAACTTAATGTATTTTTTATTTTCTTTAAAATTGCTGTCGAAACAAGTTTGAACAATTTTGATCACTTTTTGTTGTTATCTGCGCACAATTGATTTTTTTTTTTTTTTTTTTATTTGGTCTAGTTCGGTTTTTGATCTTTGCATCCGTGTGGTGCGGGTCTTGAAACGATTCTGAAGCCGTTACTTGTTTATTTACTGGTTTTTATAGAGGAACTTGAACTATGCTTATATACAAATAGATATATATGTATATATATAGATTTCTTGTGTGTATTGTGCTCTGGGCAAACTTTGCGCTTTGTCTTCCTAATGTCACGGTCTGACATGAAGATAGAGAGCCGTTGGCCATACCATGAACGGCATATGGCCGATTCCTGTTCTAAGCAAATTGAAAGGTTTTTTTTTCTTAAGATGCGCAGACAATTCTGTTCGCTGAACTAAATGCGAGCAGTGAGCAAGGTCAAATTGGTAATCTAGCCGGAAGCTAAATATTATTAATACCGACTTGTGGCCACTCGAAAATAACAGATACTTGTGCTTCATTACAGTTAGCTGCTGATGGGCTATGAATAAAAACAAAAACAACAACAACAACAACGACAAGAAACGAGCGTGGTTCGAGTTCATTAAAACCTAAAGTGTGTCGGGCATTTGCCCAGCATCAGGGCTAACAGAAGCCATTCACAAAGTAAGCGAATGCCACTTGAAAAAAAATATTGAAGAAGATATTCATTTGGATGATGACAAGCTCTACGCATTAGATTCCATGTATGCAGATGCCTATGATGTATTGAAATATATTTTCGTATTGCTTTTGTGCGTAATTATGACACTCGCTTCTGTCGCTTCTGGCACTTCCGCTTGATCGGTTATAATTTCATTTGATCTTCGATCGCAGCGTCGAGTGGCAGACATCGAGTCACTCGCTCTGCAATCTATTAACCAACATGAATAGATGAAAAGCTTTAAAACTCACATTTCCGGTGCGATGCTAAAACTTCAATTTGCATTTTAGATTTGTTTTCAAGCATCTAAGACGCTTTAATGGCTGCGGCCGCCCGTCTATCTGGCTTAATTTGTAGACACGTTTTAAGGTTCTAAATCATTTTCAACAACCTAAATGGACTCGAAGTCTGAAGCTCAGGGCATTCAACTTTTACGCCACGAAATAAAAGCCCCTAGAAACACAATTATTATTTGATAATCCCATTATCTAACCAACCCATATAGATTCATATCGGATATCAGTCAAGGCACGCCAGAAACGAGTTTCCATCTATACCCTATGCAAAACGAAGAGAGTTAGGTTATTAAAAAGCAAAATGCATATATGTATATGCAAGTTATTATTTAAATTCATAAACATATGTTTGAAACGATCCCGAATTTTCAAGAATTAGAAAGCGAAAAAGCCCTAACGAAATTGAGATAAGTGAAATATATTTAGCCTGTGCAAAGACAGCATATCTTGCAGTCTAATACTTTTTGTCTGCCAATTTCGTTTTGTTGATGTCTTTTGCAACGCCCCGATAAACGAACAAAAGCCACGACCTTAACCATGAAAATAATATTTATGTACTCGCAGAATATTTCAATACAATGCCTTTATAGAGAATCAAGTATGTTTTATTTATGATAGACAGAAGATATCTTCGATATATGATAATTAGTCATTAGAGAGACTTCTATGGCCTATAGACTACAGACTGTATATTTTTTTACTTATTACTGCATTGAGCTCCTAAACTGTCTATCATTCTCTGTTTCTATTATAATTCTCTATCTTTATGTTTATCTTTCTCTGTTAAAATTGAAAGTGAGGAAGAAATTGGACAGAAACTCGTTCTTCTTGTCTTTTCCGTCTCTAAGCCTCGGCTACTCTCTATTTCTCTTTCTCTTTCTAAAAGCTCCTCTAACTTTGCCACTCTTCCTCCCTCCCTCTCGCACTCACCCTCTCTCTTTCTATATCTCTCTCTCTTTTTCCATCTCTCTCTCTCTCTCCCCCTCTTTCTCTCTCTCTCTCTCTCTTTATCTACGCCTCTCCCTCTATATCGATTGACATCTATCTGTTTCTATCACTTCTTATCTCTCTTCTTTTCTATCTAAATATTTAGAGCATAGTTCCCATATGCATTTTCTGCATACTCCAGTAGCACATCTCGGCAATGAGAGCCGATGGCATGCAAATCGAATTTATTCCAGAGTGTTCATCGACTCCATCGAATGCTCTCCAGCAATCGATTCAGTTTGACCGAGTCCCTTGAAGCTACCGCATCGCGAAGCGCAAGAAACAGTCCAAACAATGGTGAGTGCACAGGAATACCTAGAGTGAAATAGAATAGCATATAATATTCGATTTGCATATGCAGTTATTGGTGACGTCGCTGCAGGTCTTCTTGCTGCTCTTATCAGCGCCACGGCAATTGTTCGCTTTCAGATATTACGACCTTGAAGACGTTGGTTTTTATGGGGCACGTGGCACAGATGCGGAATGTGACGCCCACTTGGTGATTAAGAGCTGGATCAATGAGCAGATTGTGACCAATGCAAAGTTAACCAGTCTCAACCTAAACTTGGGCAAGGTGCTGGATGTCATAAATAACACGAATCCCAATCAGGCTGGCGAGGAGCATTGCTGTTTCTACGAGAATAAAACGATGAGTACTATATTCAAAGGCTTAGGCAAACTGACGACCACCAGCGATACGCCAAATACCAACCCGCTCGAAGCAACTGGCGATTTGGGCAAAGATCTGGACATCATTTTGGATCAATTGAAAGCAATATCATCGAAGAAAATGAAAACTTGCTGCGAGAAATTGGCGGAAAATCTGAAAACAGTCGAAGCTGATTTAATGAAAGAATTAGAGGAGGTACGCAGGAAACTGAAGAAACAGCACGGAGAAGTCAACGACCAAGCAGATAAGCTAAAGAAAAAGCAAACTGATCTAGAGAATCAATTGAAGAGTGTCACGAATCGCATCGAGGAGCTGGAGAAGCAGCAGAAAGTCAACAAAGAGGAAGCGGCCAAATGTTGCAAGGAGTTGAACGACAAAGTGAATGAATTGAACAAGCAGCTAGAGCAAGCCAAAGCTGAGGCCAGCAAGAAAGCCAAACAGCTGGAGAAGGACATCAACGATCTAAACCAGAAGCAACAGGAGCATGCGAATAAGTTGGATATTCTACAAAAAGAAACCGAGAAACACGGTACAATTATTGCTCAAACAACGCAAGTTTGCATTGATAACTGTGGAAATGGAACTGGAAATGGACCTGGAACTGGAAGTGGAACCGGAAACGGAAATGGAAGCGGAACTGGATCAACTGGCATTGAAGAATTACAGAACAAAATCAAAGAACTGGAGCAAATGATTGTTAATCTGGTCGAGAAGTTCAATCAATTGTCCAATTTATCGATTGCCACAGCAAATTGTTCGAAAATCATGGAAGAACTAATTGAAATTCAGAATACACTCAATCAACTGGGTAATCAAACGTCAGGCAACAACAATTGTCCCTCCCTGGCGGAATTGCAGGCAGAAATCGAAAAGGCTAAGCAGTGCTGCAATAGAATCGACGCATTATCCCAGAAACTGGATGACATGATGAAACAAATTGAGGAATTAAAAAATAACTACACAAAACATGTGACACAGCTAGAAACGAGCTTAAGTCAGGTGCAAGAGAAGATCGATAATGCTTTTGCACAATTGCAGAACATCTCCACAGCAATACAAACATGTACTAACGGCAATGGAACCGATGAATCCGAGGCCCAGGCCAAGCGCCTTGCAGATCTGCAGAATCAGGTTAACTCGCTGAAAACCATTCTGAATATGACCCAAACAAATCTCAATATTAATGAAGCAAAGCTCGTCCAGCTTGATAAAACTCTCGACGAGAAATGGAAAGAATTTCAAAAACTCAATGCGGATCGCCTGAAGAATTTGACCGAATTCAAAGACCAGACGGAGAAACGTTTGTATGAACTGCAGCTCCTATTGAGCAACAGTTCAAGTGCGCCCGATCAAAACCTAACTGAGCGCGTTATTAAGTTGGAAAAGCTACATGAGAAAATGCTAGTGGATATACAGAGGATACTTGAGCTGCAAACGATGATCTTAAATCTGGAAAATCAGCTTAAAGAGGCGCTGCAAAAGTTAAAAGACCACGACGCAAAGTTTGCCGAATGTGCCTTGAAATGCTCAATGATGGATGAGCTTGATGATATGATCGATCGCTTAGAGGACCTGGAGCATCTAATATTTCGTACGACAGGTGGCCCATCAAGTACACCAAAGCCTACTACACCAAAGCGTACTACAACAAAGCGTACTACAACAAAGCGTACTACACCAAGGCCCACTCGACGCAGCACGCCTATCAGCATAATTGGTAGTATTGACAATCCCAAAATTATATATAAGCGACCAAAACGGAATGTATAAACGAAAAGTATATTATGCTGGAAAAAAGTTCTTATTGATCCAATTGAAAGCTTTACCATTTATCCACCGAAAATTCTTCAGTTACATAATCGTGTATATGCTATATTGAACCTTTTGATCGAATTATATAAAAATTTGCGCATGCTTAACAGATATATATAAGCCTTACTGTACCTGGTTAGTGATGGGGTGTAAAAGTGATTTTTACTGTGACTGTAGGACAGAATATAAACCTTTCTAACAGAGAGGACTCATTTATTTATGCCACGACTGTAAATGTACACCACGATAATTGAGAGGTTAACAGAGACAGACTGCTTGGCTGCTTCTGTTTTACATGCTTTATCATTAAATTAATGATACAGCATACTTATTTATTTTTGCCGTGACTGTACGGCGGAAATGCTTTATTTTAATGAAACTGAATACAAACTATGCTTTGGCAATGACAACCCGTTGATGACTTATCGAAATAGCGTATTCGGCCAGCGTATCTATTATATTTGCCATGACTGTAGCTTTTAACATACATTGGACAACGAACATAATTAAGAAAATCCCGCCCATGCCATGACTGTAGCTGTTAACCCAGACTGTGGCAGTGGGTTAACGAAGGACTCGGAACACCTTGACTACCTGTCCAATTTGAGCAAAGTTAAATTGCCTTGCCAAACAGCAAGGACATAAATATGCAAGCAAAGTGAACTATTTTCTGGCATATCCTTGATGTTGTTGTTGTTGTTGTTATTGCAGGCTGACAATGTTCGTTTCGTTGAAGTTATTTTCACATAATTGCTGGAATTTCGTTAATTTGTAGCCAATTTTATTTCGTCATCAAATGCCCTAATAGAACCCACACAGACCTGGCTCAAAGGGATTCCAAAGGACATTTGGCTTTACTGGAGCCCAGGCAGACTCTTTTCGTATTTGCCATTCCGAAATGCAAAACTTTTAGCCCTTTTATTTTCGCCAACATGCTAATGACATAATGTGCATACTTCAGAAACGCCCCCTAACAGGAGCAAGCGACCTGTCTGGATCCTTGCGTGTCTCCGGCAAGTAGAGCCAACAAAAAAATTGAAAATGAAAAAAAAAACAAAAAACAAGGGAATAACTTTAGTTAATTAAGGTAAGTGATAGACTAATAGATAGCCTCAATAATTTTTTTTAAATATATAAAATATATTAATATATGGGATCTCATTAATCCACATTCACTTTTTTTTTATTAAAAAGAAAATCTTTCCATCTGCTCATAATTGTAAGCTTTATTTACAGGGCATCGCTTAGCAGTGCTTTCCTCCTGCAGCCGCCAGACGTAAATATATGGCAGTCACTGTGTCAGGAAGTTGACTAAAAGACCGTTAAATGAAAATCAACACGAACCTTGTTTTCTGTATAAATCAACTGGTTGCGTCGCAAACGATGTTTCCTCTAAATGCATTCATATGAATGTAAATACATTTATACAAATATATATACATCTAAACCAATGAATATATATTTATATATGTATGTAAATGAAATGGTGTATATACACATGTTCCGACTCCGCGTAGTTTTTGACATTTGCGTTGACGTTTGTCGGCCAACCAGCTACACTGTCTAACCTAATAATAGAATGACTATACGATTATCTTGAGAAAGCCATAAAATTTGCCGAAAAGAAATAAAAACAAATGTAGGAATATTTGTTAAAAGGAACCTGTGTAGATTCCAAATTTCCAGCTTCTAATTGTTGAGGCTTACGAGATGAAGAAATGAATATGATAAGATCTGAACTCAACTTGTCCTGATGAAGATTCAAGAAAATTCTGCAGAGTTATTTAAGCTTCATAGATCATAGGAAATTACTAAAGTTCGTTGCAGCAATTTAGATATAACCATGTCGTATACTCCATACTCTACAGTTATTCTACATTACATATATTTCTCTTTGAGTAATTTCTCATGTAGTACAGTGCTATTTAGAGGCAATCTGGCAAATGAATTTTGTAGTCAGAAATGCTTTAATTCGTATTCGCTAGACTCGATCCATGGGGCATATGCTGCTGCTACGTTGCTCCGTTTCCGGAACGACACGCCAGTTGTGGAGTCGTAGGCCTTGTTTATTTGCATAGCTCGTGCCTTCGCTTTTGGCCACCCACTTACCATCCATCTATCTCTCTCTCTCTCTCTCTCTCTCTCTCTCTCTCTCGCTCTTTCTCTGTCTCTGTCTCTGTCGCTATGTTGTCTGACATTTAGCATATTTGCGTTTCTGTGGCAGCGACTGCCAAATGCAGGCAGGATATACAAGCAGGATATACAAATCCAATTCCGCATTACAACAAACTCTGCCGTGCCCAACTTATTAAACGTTGTCGCTGCTCCAATTTAGCAAACGCCCACGATATGGACGTGGATGTGGGTGTGGGTGTGGCACTATTCCCAGTGCATCGTTTGATAAAAACTCTGGCTGGCATTCCGTTAGGGTCACACAATGGCTGTTGGGCCCAAAGGACTCGCACGTCTCGTCCTTGTCGAGCAGCTGCTGCAGGAGGTAAGATTTCCGATTTCAATAGAATTTTTCCCTTTTCTTTCCGTTTGTTTGCTCGTTCGTTCGTTCGTCAGCCTTCCAGCAGGCCTTGGCCAGCCAGGCGTAAAAGTGTTTCAACATCGACAAATTCCGTATTCCAATCACAGTTCTTTTTGTATTCCAGTGTCGACACTCGTTTATTTACAAATTTTTAGTGCTTATATAGTTTAGTTTCTTGACCACTCTTGCAATAGTCAACATTTATGTACTTGACACATTCATAACTAATTTTAATCATATCCAAATCCCACCCATCCGCGCCCAACATAAATTGGAAATGCAAAACACTACGAAACGCGCCAAGAAGAAGACACGCGCCGCGCCGAAGGTAACCCAGGTGCCGGTGCCCCCTCACAATGCACGCCGTGTGATCATACCCCGGCCGGATGTGCTGCACACCTATCTGGAGTACAATCAGATCAATCAGTATTTGGAATACATTGTGCACAAGTACTCCAATTTCGTGAAGCTCTATACGCTGGGCTTGACGCACGAGCGGCGTGAGGTGCGGGCCCTAGAGATCAATTGGAATAATCCGGATAATGTGGAGCTGTCGTCCGTGATGCGTCTGCAGGCGGCCAAGATGGCGGACGTCTACAGAAGTACGGGAGCGAAGGGGCCTCTCGTATTGCCCGGCGACAAAAATCGCAACATCATTTTCATAGAGGCCGGCACCCATGCCCGGGAGTGGATCACGGTGAGCACCTGCCTCAATTGCATCTACCAGCTGACGGAGCGATACACGCGCAACATCGAAGTACTGCGAAATCTGCGCTTCATCATTGTGCCGCTCGTGAATCCCGATGGCTACGAGTATTCGCGGACGAAGGTAGGAGTCTTAGCCTCTACAGCATTATCAGTCAGCTTCTCCATCCTCAACCATCCTTACTCCCGCCCACAGAATCGTAATTGGCGAAAGAATCGCCGTCCACAGAAATCGACCAAAATTGTGGGGGCCGATTGCAATCGCAATTACGACATATTCTGGGAGTGCGGCCCGGTGAGAACCAACCGCAATACATATAAAGGTGAACGTCCGTTCTCGGAGCCGGAGACACGCGCCATGCGCAACATCCTCGACAGCCTGGCGCCCAATCTGTTGTTCTTCCTGTCGCTGCACTCGTACGGCCAGAGCATCATGTATCCATGGGGCTATTGCCGCGAGGCTCCATATCACTGGCGTGAGCTCCACACGCTGGCCGCCACTGGACGAGCGGCCATCAAGACGTACAATGGTCGGGAATATCGCACGGGCAGCATTAGCTGCCTAACCAAACGCACCATTGCCGGCTCCGTTGTTGACTATGTGTACGGCGTGTTGAAGGCACCGCTGGCGCTGGTCATGGAGCTGCCCTCACGCGAGCTGGGCTTCCAGCCGCCCGTTGAGATGATCAGCCAGATTGGCCACGAGAGCTGGTTCGGCATACGTGAGATGTGCAAGAGCGCCTTCGATTTGAGGCAGAGCATCAAGCGAGACGAAGAGCCAGTGGCGCCCAGGCCGCCGGCTGCTCACAACACTTCCGGCACCGGCGATACGAATGCCAGCCACACCAGTGACATCAAAAAGAAACCGCTCAAGAAGAAGAACAGAAAACGCTCCAAACGCTCGCTACTAACACAGCACGCCGAAATACTCGAGCTGCAGCAGCGACACATGGAGGCCGCCAAGATGCCGCAGCGATCGCTAACGGCGCCGATGCGAACACGTCGCGGACAGGGCGACGGCCCATCCTAGAGGATAATCCCTATCCTTACAATCGTCTGTGTGTTTGTGTGCGTGCGTGTGTAGTATATGTTTATAACGCGTTTGTATACAAACTGCCTGGGCTTGGTCCCAAAGTTGATTTCGCTTGGGCATTTTTATTCTGTAGGTTGATGTATGGGTGTATGTATGTATGTATAACTTGGTTTTTGTACATTGTAAATCATATGAGGAATATGCATGCAATCTCTGCAATTGCTGCCTGTGTAGGTGTAGATGTGTGTGTGTATGATTGCTTAAATACTAGTACAACAGTGTGTGTGTGTGTGTCACTCATTGAGATATTCATTTGGTCTCAAAAGAAGGCATACGCGGTGCAGCATACTTCTGACGCAGCTTCTCATACACCTTGCGATCCTGTAGAGGCAATAGAAAATATTTTATTCAATAAGTACGGCACATATGGCTATCGCTATGCTATGCTTACCTGCTCGCTAACCGAGGGACGCAGCTGCTTGAGTGCCTCCTCGAAATGCTGTTGGCGCACGCACAGATCGTCCACTGAGGTGTTGCCGCAGTTCAGCGATTGGCGCAGGGCGAACATGGACGCCTGTTTGACCAGTCCGGCCAAATCGGCGCCCGTATAGCCATCTGTTTTGGCAGCCAGCGCCTCCAGATTCACATCATCCGCCAGCACTGGGCGCTTGCCATTCTATATGTGTACAAAAGGTCTTTTATTATAGTAAATATAGTCAAGAACCGATTCCAATCTCTGCTCACCTTGGTGGTAGCTTTCAATATATCCACACGCTCCTGCTCTTGCGGCAAGCCCACATAAAGTATGGTGTCTAAACGACCTGGACGCAAAATAGCCGGATCTATGATATCCGGTCGATTGGTAGCAGCCAGTATATAGACACCCTTACGCTCCTCCACGCCATCCATTTCCGTCAGCAGTTGATTGACAATGCGGGTGCCAGAATTGTTGCCATCGCCTCCGTCCGACCGCTTGGGGCACAGCGAATCGAACTCATCGAAGAAGATCACACAGGGCGACGAGTTGCGAGCACGTTGGAAACAAGCGCGCACTGCACGCTCGCTCTCGCCCACATACTGAAATCAAATTAAAATTGCAGCATAGTCAAATAAATTGGGAAGTCAGCTCACTTACCATGTTCATCAGCTCAGGCCCTTTAACGGATATAAAGTTAATGCCCGCCTCATTGGCTATGGCCTTGGCTAACAACGTCTTGCCGCACCCAGGTGGTCCGCAGAGCAGCACGCCGGAGGGCGCCTCCAGACCGAGGCGTACTAGCATATCGGGATACTTTACAGGTGCCAGCACAGCTAGCTTCAGTTCCTCGCGAATGTCATGGAGCGAACCAATATCCTCCCATGTGGTGTCCGGCACAGTAATGAAACCTTCGCGCTTTGCCGACGGTTGTATGAGCTTGACAGCGGCCATGAAATCATCTAAAGTCAGACAGAAGTTCGGATCGGCAAATTCTTCTGGCGGATTGTCCAAGAAATTTGTCAACTCAGCCAACGTTGGTTCGTAGAACTCTTCGAGCTCAGCTGGCGTATCGACTTGCTGTTTGGTTTCAGGTTCAGCTTTTTCTGCTGGCACATCAGTTTCCTTGTCATCCACATCCATGGAGTCATCTTCATTGGCCTTCTCGCCATTTACGGCTTCTGCATTTTCTTTATCCGAGTTTGGTTTTTCGGCTTCGCCGCCCGCCTTCTCAGCATCTGTTTGCTTCTCAGCATCTGCTGGCTTCTCCTGCACCTGCTCGACGCACTCGTCGTCGTCGAGCGTAACCGTTGTCATGTTCATTTCATTAGCTGCATGCAGCTCACGAAACTTCTTCATCGATCGTCGCTTCACAGCGATTGAAGCGGCACGCGAGACCAAAGCTAGCAGATCGGCGCCCACATAGCCAGGCGTTAGTTCAGCAATTTTATCATAGTTCAGCTTCGGGTCAACTGACAAACCCTCACACTGTATGCGCAAGATTTCACGTCGTTCTTTGCGCGATGGTATATGTATGGCGATTTCATGATCGAAACGTCCAATGCGACGCAGACCCGGATCCAATGTATCCGGCCGTGTTGTGGCAGCAATGACAACAACTGATTGTCCGAATTCAGTACTCTTTAGCTGATCCAAGCTGGTGATCAGCTGTGAGACAATTCGTCGCTCCATATCCTTGGAGGCCCACTGGCGATTGCCCGCAATGGCATCGATTTCATCAATGAAGAGCACACTTGGCGAATTATCAATTGCCTGCTCGAAAACATCACGTATACGCTCCTCCGATTCACCAGAAATGCCTCCAATCAACTCCGTGGCCGGCACCTCAAGCAGCGGCATTTTTAATTGCTAGATTGATATAGATATTGATATATATATATAATATATATAGACCCACGATTAAATGATATATACGTACGCCCGCAATGGCACGCGCTAAATAGGTTTTTCCACAGCCAGGCGGTCCATGCAGCAGCAGACCACGCGATGGCAGCAAGCCCAATTGGAAATAGAATTCCGGTGATTTGATATGTATAAGCATTTCGCATAGCTCTTTCAGTGTGCCATCCATGCCACCAATATCACGGAAACTCTCTGTGATGCGTGTCACTTCCAATTCCTTTTTATATTTACGAATACGCATCTGTTGCTGATGATGCTGTTGTTGCTGCTGTTGCGAAAACTGTTGATGCTGTTGATAGCCATGCGAGTGTCCATGATGAGACGGCTCCTTGCTGGATCCAACGTCGCAATTGCCTTTAACAAGATTAGCAACATCTGAAAGACCAGTCAATAGTCAATTAATTTAGAATTAACTAATAATTAACTCTAAAACCTGCTCACATTTCTTCGCTGGTATTTGATTAGCTGCGCTATTGGCGGCAGTTAGGTTATCCTGGCGCCCCCCTGAAAGAAAATCAAATAGAGGTCTTTTACCTATTAAGGCATAAGTTACTGTGCTTGCCCTATTGCTCATTCTTACCCTTCTTGGCCAGCACTGCTGCCGCAGCCTGGCTCTGATCCATGGGTCGCTTGAGCGCTTTAACTGGCGCTATAACCGTGGCACCACCAGCCAAGCTGCCAGCACCATTTGGTGGACTTCTAGATTCATCGTCGTTCTCATCACCGCTTGAAATGTCAATGGGCTCATTGCTTGGCTTTGGAGTTTGCGATGCTCGGCGAACTTGTGACTGATTCTGGGTGTACAAACCCTGCATTATATTGTTCATGACGCTGTTGTTGGGCGTCTCTGGCTCGTCTGATAAATAGTCTTCCTCTTCCTCGGAGCTGCTGGCCTTATCTAAGTTATAGCTGTCGGAAACAATGGAAAAAGCTGAAAAGCGAAAAACCAGGTAAATATTTTGCCAAAAGGTTAACTAGCAGTAGTATTAATAGTAGTATAGTATCTGATAATTCAGCACGCTCGCCGATATTATATATTATGGGGTCGATTCTAAATAACAGAGATAATTACAATACTTGTTCATTGTCTATACGGCAAAGCTTAATGGCAAAGCAAATATGCACTGATTTGGAGAAACATAAGTCTAACTGTTTAGGAGCTAAATTTTCGGACGGACGGGTGAAATACATGCGCTGCAGCACGCTGGCCAGACAACTCACCCTACTTTGAAGCCTACCCCAAAAACAGAAAATAATAATACTGGCGAAATGGCTTTTGTTACATTGCCCTCGTCTGTCCGTCATGCGCAGAGACGTTTGTAATATTTACTTTAATATTTACCTTGATGCACCAGTTGTCTGAATGGTCCAAATTTGCGACGCGAATATTCGGGATATTTGCGCATCAACTCTTTGGTCATCTGCTTCACATCCAAATATGTCTCGTCAATATGCTCTTCCAGATACTAGAAATGCGAGCAACGCAAGAGAAAAATGTGCATTTAATAATTGCAGTCGTCTGTCAGAATCTAACCTTGCTTTTGCAATTTTCGTTTTTTTTTTTTTTATTTGCTTGCCGGCTGTCTGACGTTAAACAGTTAGCGACAGACAGTAATGTAAATGCACATTACCTGCTTCACTCGATTTGTTATTAAATGATCATGCAATAGTGGTTTGACTTTCTTCATATTCTGTGTGGGCAAAATAAGAGCTGCCAAGATTCACACGAGAAATATTTCGCGTTAACCGCTAACAATATGACGCCGACGCTTGGAAGAAATAGCAATCGCCACTGACATTCAGTTGAAACTATCGATTACAGCTCGTGATGCGATTTGCCAATTAATACAGTAATCATCATTATTTAAAAAATTCTATGAATGGTTATGTTTATTACATTTATTCAGAAACTCAAGCATTTAATATATTTCTTAGCTTAGTTACAATTTAGAAAGAAAATCCTTTAATGACAATGATAAGAAGCACATGTTACACATTCCGTGACCTTTCGGCATGTGCGAATCACGCATCTCTAATAAAACATTCGTGATGTGTGACCACATTTTCAAAACCAAATCAGTATTTGCCAATTGAAATTCGCCGCGCGCCAATTAACTGAAACTCAAATTTTATTAACAAATAACACATACATACATATCACTTTGAAATTTTGATTTATTGAATTTTGTGCGTTCAACAGAAACTTTGTAACTTATGACTAAATAACTTATAGATGTTGTACATGCTTACAATTACATAATAATGCATTAAATAGTCTTCAATAATAAAACTAAAGTGCGCGGAATGAGGATTATGATCACTAAATCGATTGGTACGTTTCATAGAGCAATTTCATGCAATTGATTGCACATTAATCCAGTTTTGTTAACTAAAAGTTATTTACCTAAAAGAGAATGGAGAGCGATGAGACTACCCGAAAAGGCACTACTAGTGGTACACATATATATATACGCATATATACATTTATATATATATGTACATATATATATATTGATAATACAGTTACAGGTGCTGCTTCAATTGGAAAGATGTAGAAATTAATTTTTAAAGAGTACAAATTATCAGTCGGTGTGAATTTGTGTATGTGTGTCTATGTATATATATATATGCTTGCATTGTTTTTCTGCAATCCATTTAGCTCTTTCATTAAACAGTTTAGAGAATTGATTATCCAGCATCTGTTTGTT